CGAAACAACAATGGCAAACACTTCAACGTACTGCTCAATATCAAAATAACTCTAATAATTGGACTAATGAACTTCAAGCACGATAAATTTCACTTTTTTGTACACGAATGCAAACTATTAAAATAAAAATACAAAAAAAGAATAAGAAAAAGAGAAACGTGCGTTAGCCGGGAGTCGAACCCGGGTCGGCTGCTTGGAAGGCAACCATGCTAACCGTTACACCACCAACGCATGCTATGCATTACATGAATATGTGCAATTGAGTATTGTGGAACACTACTAACTTTGTTGGTTTAGCGATTGAATTAAGAAAGAGGCAATTTTCATTATCATTTCTTATTGCTCTTCAATAAATCATCACTAGCTATGAAGTACAATTGTCCATTGTAGATTCGTACATATAATGCTGCTAATTGAAATAATGGTCTTCAAGCACGATAAACGTCACCCTTTTTGTGCACAAATATGAACGATTATAAAATAAAAATACTAAAAAAGAAAAAAGAGAAATGTGCGTTAGCCGGGAGTCGAACCCGGGTCGGCTGCTTGGAAGGCAACCATGCTAACCGTTACACCACCAACGCCTGCTATACACTACATGAATATATACAATCGAGTATGATGGAACACCACTAACTATGTTAGTTTAGCGATAGAACTAAAAAAGAGGCAATTTTTCATTATCATTTCTTATTGCTCTTCAATAAATCATTACTAGCTATGAAGTATAATTGCCCACTGTATATTCGTACATATAGTGCTGCTAATTGAAATAACGCAGGTCGATCACTCAGTCCATTTGAAAGGACACCTTAAACTGCCTAAAGTGGTGAGAAAGCGATGTGATTACTGCCATAAATGATAAAAAAATCGCCTTGTTTCACAGTTTTTGGTCGTTTTTCACCGAAATGTAAACTGCACTATTTTATGGTAGTTTCAGTCACAAAACAAGGCGCAGTATTAGGACCGTATTTTCATCGTACGCTTTGGTATTTATGCCGTTTTCTTGTCTTATGCGGCTTATTTTTATTACTTGAATTGCACTCTAGGTAGCATGCTGCTTATACTTTCTATTAATATACGACACATTTCATTACATAAATAGCATTCTAACATACGAGTTGATCATCACAAGCTACATTCACAGGAGATATATGAAAAAATGACGTATACATAGGCAACAATCGTACCTACTGTGTGTGAAAATACCATAGAACATGCTTTTAGAAAAAATAGTTCACTGTTAAAAAACAAATCTATAATTTCAAGGATGCACTTTTAACAAGCAACTTACTACAGTTGTTTTTCGTCGTTTTTTAATCGTTTACGAGCTGTCGTTTCGATATGCGATGAGCAACATCATTATAACTTGAATAAACTTCCTACTGAATATCTCGAGCACAAAAAAATGGGTTCTCTCATCAATTAAACTTATCAATGTGAAAAAATTGATGAACGAGGAATATGTGAAGACGTATATACTTATGTACTCTATAACTCAATATTAATATCGTGTCAATCATGATGTGACAAGACAGAGACCTTTTTTTTTTTATTAAGAGAACGCCATCTCGTTCAATAGATGTTAATAAAATCTACTCGTCGGTGTTTAGACTAGCTGAGAAAAGCTAATTGGCGGTTCGTATTAGCAAAAAAACAAAATAAAGTTTTAAAAAAAGGAGTACAAAACGTCAATCTCAGCAAAATACTTCCATGAAATATTAAAAATCAGTTGAACTGGAAATAGTAGATAAGATCATTAAGATTTATCTATTGAACATCATTCAAAATATGTCGTGATGTTTATAAGATATGTTTTTAGTTTCATGTGGAAACGATTTGTAAACGGAGTAAATTCGACGGTCGGAACCATGGTCATTTTTGCTGGGTCCTAAACGGTCGCGTACTGGATATCGTTTAGAATCATATTCCATCGTTTTTGAGTCGTTCACAACTTTTTACAGGTCCTTCTATCGGACTTGGGAATAGACTTTAAGCGCGATAGGCTTCACTTTTTCTGTATATAAATATGAAGGATTTTAAAATAAAAATACAAAAAGAAGAAAAAGAGAAATGTGCGTTAGCCGGGAGTCGAACCCGGGTCGGCTGCTTGGAAGGCAACCATGCTAACCGTTACACCACCAACGCGTGCTATACACTACATGAATATGTAAAATAGAGTATTGTGGAATCTTCAATAAGTTATGATTAATCTTCATAGCGTCAGCTATGAAATAGTAGACTGGTTCTCACCTGGAATCCATACGGACCTCAATTTAGATATCAAATAAACGTCGCTGAAATTATATTTAGGTTACATAGTAACTGTAAGCATCAGAAGCAATATATTATTACAGGAAGACTCTAGAGAACAATGGTCAATCTTAGTATTATTTCTTAATCGTTTTTCATTATTCTATAGCTCTTTTCTCATATTCTTTTCACATTTTCCATTCTGAGTCATTAAATGATTTTGTGATGGTGTGGCGGACACAAACATGACAATTAGCACAATCGATGACAACTTTATTATCAGATTTTCTTAAGGACAGCTGACAATGTTGATTGCTACCAATTTTCAGTACTACAGGAAGTACTCAGTCAATGATTGATAGTCCAAAAGACGGCATCACCAGGCGAGCATTTTGCTAAATGGTTTGTGGATTCTGACAACGTCGATTCAAGTGCACATCAAAGAGGCTGCAACCAGGTTACTACAAGAAAAACTTCAAGGGCGATGAGTTTTACCTTTTTTTATGTACACAAGTATGAATGATCGAAATAAAAATACAAAAAAGAAAAAGAGAAATGTGCGTTAGCCGGGAGTCGAACCCGGGTCGGCTGCTTGGAAGGCAACCATGCTAACCGTTACACCACCAACGCGTGCTATACATTACATGAATATGTGCAATAGAATATTGTGGAACGCTACTAATTACATTAATTTAACGAGTGCACTAAGAAACAGGCAGTCTTTCATTTATATTTGTAGTGTTTTTTAATAAATCAACATTAACTATGAGGTAAAACTATCCATTGCATATTCAAATATTGGTGATTCTGGTGTCTATTATATCTTTTTACAAACAGAAAATGGTCCTGTTCATGTTTCAGTTTTTGCTTGGTGAAACTGATCGAAATTAATATCGACGTACTTGTTGATCATACTCTATATGTACTGCTAAAATCAAGTGTATATCTATTAATATTTGTGAGCATTGCAGAAAATATATTAGCTATTTATCCATTGTAAAAGTGTTTTCATGATAGTTCTTAATACACTTCTTTTTTTCATATTTTTCTTTAGCTTGAACAATAAGTCAAGTTTGTTGAAATAGTTGTCATAAAGAATTTTTAATGTTGTTTCGACTCATAACCTCATTTTGAACTCAGTTATCTTCGTTTGTTGAAACAAAATGAGTTTTTGTTAATGATTATAGAAAAGATTAAAAAAGTGTCCCACCTCTTTTGACCTTTCTGTATAGTCAATAAACAGTTTATGTTACATCTTTTTTCAAAAAAGAAACTCACAAATCTACGCACTATCAATTGTTGAAAACTACAGATAACTAGTGTTTCTCGTTATTGACTAATTTACATTTTATTGGCATTCATTGGAATATGACCAATAATTTGTTCCTTCCTCTTTTGCCTGTCTTCTAACCAAATTACAAAGAGCTACGAGCTGGTCTTTTTTTACCATAAATGTCAATTGAATAGCACAACACAAGCTGTAAATATCGAATCTCTCAATCGTTCCTGAAGACAATATCTTCAACAATACAGTAAAATGTCTTTTTACTAGCTTGTGGCATCCCATTCATTATTTGAAAATCTAAATATAATTTTATTATGATCTGTGTCGACAATACTAAATATGCATGGGAGGTGTAATGTAAGTATAGAAGAATAGAAGAGTCACTCCCTTTTTTTTTAGTCTTTTCATTGATTTATTGTTTTTTTGCATAACGAACATTTTACAAGAAATCATTGTGTCATTTACTTTTGAAAAAGAACAAAAAAATTTATAATATTCTTATGATGCAGATACACTAGTAACTTAATGGCGACAGAAACTGACTCAAATTTTTTCTCTTATAAAATATACTTTTTATGATTTTATGGATATTCTTCGAAGAGTTTATAGATCATTAGTAAGAAATGCTTTAAAACCCTTAGAAAAATCTTACATTCGTAATGTCATTTGTTTTTGTACAAATTTTCTCATTACATTTCTAAAACTCTTCTGGTCTCTGAATCTAACGAAAGAAAAAACTAGTAATATGCAAAATCATCTTTTTCTTACACTCCAAACTATTCTCTCTCCGTTGACAGTGCATCTAAGTGTAAAACTGTTGACTTTTTTCGATCACTTTAAAAAAAAACCAATGGTATCACCCGATAGTTATAAGACATTGAACATATGAGAAAATAGTTATATGAAAATAAGTCAACATTAAAACATTGTTATTGTAGATGATTGTATAGATTAATTCAAGTTCATTTCAGCTGATCAAATGAGGATATTTATGAATATCATGTGATGCAATTCTTTAAACATGCTAACAACGTAAATTAAAAGTATGTGTTTTACGTCTCTAGAAAATGTTATATAACATCACATGCTTGTTTTAAACTATTTATTCATCGTCATTCTCGAATATTGTATTATTTTCTAAGCATATCATAAATATTTAAATACTGAGTAACTTCTGACATCTATTCCATATAAATTCAAATATTCCATTATAAGATAAATACCTACAAGGTTGATATCTCAAATGAATTCTCAATTGACGATTGATAACAGTTATATATGTTTCTCTTTCTATATTTACGCGTTCATATGAATCATTCTGACTCAGTAACTACGACAACATTTTTTTCGAGTATCATAAATGATTTCGTTCCTCCTTCCCCCGAGATGTCTACATGTCACTAAAAGTCTTCACACAGAGACTTGATTTATTATTTTTTTAAATTGATTCAAATTGAAAACAATGCTAAACAAGCAAAATGCATCTGAACTAGCGTTACCTAGCAATCACGTCGATGTTAATGATAAATATAAATTTCTTAAAAAAATTGGTAAAGGTAGTTATGGTGAAGTTTGGCTTGTTTCACCGAATAGTTCTTCATCAATTAAATCTCATACAAAACAATACGTTCTTAAACGATTAGATCTTCAGTCATCATTAAATGCTCCATCACAAAATGATATTGAAAGTGCTGAACGTGAAGCAACATTATTATCAACATTAAAACATCCAAATATTGTTGCTTATATTGAATCATTTCGTTCAAATGATGGTTTTCTTAATATAGTTATGGCATATTGTGAAGGTGGAGATTTATATACAAAATTAAAAGAAAAAAAAAACAAGAAAGAATTTTTAACAGAAGAGCAAATTATTGAATGGTTTATACAAATATGTATGGCATTACAGGTAAATAATTCTTTTCTTCGAATTATATTTTAATATAGAGAGCCTATCAAAATTGTATATCAAGGTTTATTTTCAGTCCTAAGGACGAAAAAAATTTAAATAATTATTCTAGTAAAGAAAGTAATTCTTAATAATAAATATCAAGAAAATTCCGATATTCCCAAAGACAAAAGCTTCAGAAAACGAAAGACCTAGTTTTTTTTAGCAACTAGAAAACATAAATGTGATTTCTTTCATATTATATAGAACGATACAGCAAAAGATTCTCTACAAGATTAGATATCTTCGAAACTTTTTACGACGATTTTCGATTAAGATACAGCATTCCGATTAATGACTCAAACAAGGTTTTTCGGTACAAAACGGTAAAAAAAATATGACTTTAAAGATAAAATGATTGTATCCCATATGGGAATCATTTTAATTCATATATCGTTTATGAATTCAAACTCTATGCATAAGGTAGATCGCCGTCTATTTTTTTAAATATCCTTAGAACTTTCCTCCAGAGTTAGAGCTATTTGACGTGAATTTTAGGCTATGGCACGGAGCTTGCTGGTAACTCGAATGAAGAGTATTTTGAGCTGAATTTTGACCTACCTATAAGTTCTACTCGTGGGAGTAGAGCTTTCTGAAAGTTTCAGTTCAAAAAAAAAAAGAGAAATTCACGCAACTTTTGCAAGATATGAATAATTTGTGAAAACTCAACGTCGCATGAAGGAAACATTATTTTGAGCTGAATTTTTCAGAAGACACGAGTCGTCAATAGATCTATGTATGAGTCAAAATTCAGTTCGAAATATCGTTCATTTGATTTTTTGCATATATAATGCCACAGTCTAAAATTCAGATATAATAGCTGTAACTTGGAAGAAAAAATTTAGAAGCATTCATCCTTTTGGGGCTTTTCATGTCTCATTGAAATCTACTTGATACGTAGAGTCCGAATTCAAAAAAAGATTTATCACTTGAAATGATTCCCTTGTCAACCAAAAAAAATGTTGTATAGAGCTCGAAGACACCTCATGTTGTAGATAATTATTTGCTTCATCGTTCTATGTAATCTGAACAAAATTGCATTTGAGTTTTACTTGCTAAAAGACTAGATTTTGAAAATTTCATAATTTGATGGTCCTTGTGTATATATATATATATAGATTGTTTTTTTCTTTAGTATATTCATGATAAAAATATTCTTCATCGTGATTTAAAAACACAAAATATCTTTTTAACAAAAAATGATGTTGTTAAAGTTGGAGATTTAGGTATTGCAAGAGTACTCAAATCAGGAAATGAATTTGCAACAACTATGGTTGGAACACCATATTATATGAGTCCAGAAATATTTTCTCGTAAACCATATGGACAAAAAGTTTGTAATTAATCAATTAAAAATAAGTGAAATTTGATTGTTTTTGATAATTTTAGTCGGATATATGGGCACTTGGTTGTTGTGTTTATGAAATGACAACACTTGAACATGCGTTTACTGCTAGAGATATTAATTCACTGATTATAAAAATAAATCTTGAACAGGTTTTATTTCAATTATGAATTTTTACACTAGACAACAACATTTTTTGTTTCAATATAATTTAGACACCAGAAATATCAGCTAAATATAGTGAACCCTTAAAAGATATTATAACATCAATGTTAAAAAAAAATCCAGATGATCGTCCAACAGCAAAAAAAATTTTACAAAATTCTTATATTAAAAAACATATTCAAAGATTATTAGAAAAAACACAAATTAAGTAAATAAATTAAATTAATAAATTTCATTTGATTTCAAATCTATCTATTGATTTAGGTGTCAAAATCAAGATAATTCAAGATCTCAACCAAAACTTAATATTTCTCCTGCATCTTCACCATCTCGTCCAAGCAGTGCTTCATTTACTTCGTTGTCAAAAAATCATTCTTCGAACAATAATAATAATCTTACAGCAGTTCTTCCTTCTTATCAAGCATTACCACCTTCGCATTCTCGACCACGATCATTAACTGATGCTAATCGATCTGTACCAGTTACAGAACTTTCACAATCAAATGAATCAATAACAAGTAATTCAAGAGCTCGTCGTCGTCAAGCACGTCAAAATAATCCATTACCAGTAAATGATCAAGAAAAAAATTTGGAATTCTTATCAAAAATTAGTCAGAATGATACATTACAAAATCTAAAACGTGATAAACAATTAAATAAGCATATAAAACAATGTCAACAAGCATCATCTTCTGATGAACATGATGCATCACCTATTCGACCAGTTCATGATAACATTTCTCAACCAGTCACTGTAAATATTTATTCTTTCTATTCTGAGAAATAACTTGCACAGAATACTCTAATGTATAGTATTTTTATCGCATCAATCTTGATAGACAGCCAAACTTGATATGATCAGCCATGAAATGACTCTGGGCAAGTCATTAATGGCTATCAGTTTCGGATCACCTGTCTCATAGAATGATGACTACGTTATGACATACACATGTTCTTGTAGTTTATTAGTGTGTATGAGAAGTGCAAGAACTTTTCGTCAGACTGGTCTTCTGTTTAGGACTATAGCTAGTAGCAGTTCAAGGGAAGATATCAGATTAATAAGTATGCCGTTAGGCAGCACTACATACCTCAAGGTAGTCAAAAGATTGATATCGTCTTCCTACTATAGTCTTTAGTAGAAAGTATCAGCTAGGTTCTGCAATTAAACATTTATTGTATAATTCTGAAACCTAAGAATAATAATTGTCATATGACTGTTAAAACGAATGAATAGAATAATCTTCATTCAATTTATTTATTTTACAATATTTTTCTTTTAATTAAAGATTTTCTATTCATCGTTGATTTACTATGACACATGAACAAGTCAATTTCTTAGACGATAAGCAAGTATCTACAGTAGAAGAGGGGCCACCATATTTATTTAATCCAATGGATTAATCTAATAAAATTATATACTACTTTTTAACTGTACCAAAAGAGAACCATAGTCTTCATGGATCAGCCCTCACCCTCAGCTAGGTGCTTGCTCATAGACTAATCGCTTTCGTTTGATAAAAGATGTATAAAGGACTTCATACCATAGCTGTACTGTTTGACATGAAACAGTGCCATTTATCAAATTGAATATTATCAAAGATGTTCATTCATATATTTGATTATTGACGAAATTGACAATGTTTCAATCTCTAAATGCAACTAAATCATAGAATCTCCTAGATTTCTAAGTTTCACATGTATGATCTACGTACATCTTCTATGATTTTAATTCTTCTCATTACAAAATACTATAAATAATAAACTTCGAAATATTCTTAAAAGTAAAAAAAAATAAAATAAAATAAATTTCTTAATTTTAATAATCATTTTTAATGATTTGATTAGGTTGTTGACTCATTGAAAAGACAAGCAAGTCCAAATTCAATGGAATTCAAAATAAACTCTTCTCGTCCTCAATCACAATCACGAATAACAAAATCATATGATTTAAATCAGGTTAATATCAATTAATAATAACGAATCTATCATTAATTTTGTTGTTATTGTTACTATTCTTTTAGGGATCTGTTTCTAGTGCACGTCGACGTCGCCGAGATTTCAAATTACAATCATCAAATGAATATTCAACATCATTTGAGTCACCAAATCAAACAACAAATGACTTACCACGATCAACATCACAAAATAATCTAGCAGAAGAAATGGAAAAGAAAAAAGAAGGGTAATACAATCATATAAATTTAAATTGTCTATTTTTATTTTTTGATTCTAGAGAAAAAGATATAAATGATCTCGTTTTTATGTTAACTGCTACATTACAATTACCACCAGCAAATATTAATGGTTCACATGAATTATCATACAGTTATAGTAATGATAGTGATAGAACCATAGCTGAAAATGGATCTTCTCAAAATCCAACGTGGTCGTCAGATGATCGAACAATATCTGATACATTATATAAAACAAGCCATATTTATCAACGTTGTGAACAAATACGACAGTAAATTTATTTTAATTATAAAGAAGAAAAAAAGAAATTTATTTTTAGAAACTGTCTTCGTGAAATTAGTCCAAATAAATTACGACGTGTTTTAAAAATAATTGAAAATGTTAGTGAACAACAAATGATGGTTAGTAAATATATACTTATATTAAAATAAACCATTTGTATAATTAATTATTTTATTTTAGCAACAAATGATTGATGAACTTGGTGAAGATTTATACAATAGATATTCTGCACAAATATTTTCATTAAAGTTTTATGAAGATAATTTACTTATACATCAATAAACTATGTGTGTCGTTATTTCGAACATGTTCAATTATGTATAAATCGAGTGAAAAAAAACCAGTGAAAGTTGTATACGATGCTAAGTTTTTGTATAGAACAATATATATTTCTTTCTTTGTATTTTAATGATATAAATGTTTCAGGCTTTCTTATATTTTGCAATAAAAATGTTTTTTGTTCCACTTGTTTTATTGTGGTCACATTAATTATGTAAATGTCCTTTTTTTTTCTGTGTGAAAAAAGATTACAATAAACAACACTATTAAAACAACAATGCGAGTATTGTCTAAAATGTATTAATGAATATCGTATTGAACTGCATCTAGTAATAATAAATAATGAAATATTCAGAAATGATAGATCAGATTAACAAGTGATAAATAAGGAAACTTTAGCACGGAATAGTTTAGCAAGTCAAAACAAACGGATCGATGTGACTGTAATTGTGATCGTTTTCTGCTCCTGCACTCACAACCGCACCCGTATACATTTATTGGTCTTCCAGTAGACGCTATCTTTACTGTCATTTTTCTGTGTGCTGAAGTTTTCTCAAACTTATCGTTTCAGTTACTGATCGATGAGCTGATCAAATATTGTGCAAAATTGTAAAATAATTTTATAAACTCCTGTGTCAAATACAGTTAAATAACCATTCACGAAACCTTACTAGTTAACGTTCAAGCTCAGTCCATGTTTGCTTGGTTCTTATTAAAATGTTGCAAAACATTTCGTACAAAACGTATACATTAGAGATGTGTCGAGTCAGCTTTTTTCGTATTCTGACTGACGAGGAAATTACCCGAACTAATATCTGCCGTTTGAATTCATATTGGACTTAGAAGAAGGTCTCAGTAAAACTAGAATAATCCAAGGATGGTTCATGACCATTGACATGTGGAGCCAAATCATGCCTGTTTTACTGAGTTTTCAATCTGAAATTTCACTCACAAGTAGGTCAAATGGCTAGTAGAATATGCTGAAAGTTTCAGTCGAAAAGAATGTTCTTTTGTCAAGATATTGAATTTTCAAAAAATAGGCGTTTGTCACAAAAATCGCGTTCACTTGAAAATTCAATATCTTGACAGAGAAACATTTTTTTTTGGCTGAAACTCTCAAGATATTCTACTAGTCATCGGATTCATTTATGGTCGAACTTTTAGAGTGAAATACCATTATTTGACTTTTCAATAGATATCTAAAGCTGGATCGAAAATTCAGTGAAACGGTTATAACTCGGTTCTAGAGACCCCAGTAGGCAGGAACCCTTTTAGAATTTTTCTAGTCTTCCTCTTGTGAGAAAAATTTTCTAATTATTATCTTACCCTACTCTGCACATCTCTAATATACATTCGTTTTAAAAGAACAAATCTCTAACCATCGGCTCACAACAAGAGTCACACTTTGAATCTTAAAAATTTCCAAGCTAATATAATATAAGGTTCGAAACTCTTTACTCATCTAAAACACATGATCAGTATTGTACACATGACGATTAGTTCTATCCAGATAGAAAAAAAAACTCATGCTCAATATTGATTCCATATTGTTGTTCAGAACATCGTTGACATTTTTTTACAATACTTGTAATCGTTTAGTTTTTCATTGTGAATTTACTTTCCACAGCTGACTTTCAAGTCTTCTTTTTTGGTTTACTTGTAATCTTTTTTATTAATTCACTAAAAATGGCTGAACTCAATTGTGAACGTTTGGTTCCCGTGCATAACTAACACTATATGATAAACTAGCACTATTACATTAAAACATGACATGAGCGACATCACTGGGCATTGGTCAGTAACCAATGATGATCGAGAGAATCAAGTGATATATTTTTGTCATAAATATTATTGTAAACACGAATGACAGATGATACTTGTCTTCCAAAAATTGTCTCATTTTTAAGAGTTGGTAAACGTCGGTTAGAAATCTTTCAAAAAGCTTGCATTAAATTTGGTCTTACTATTGTTGATCATAGTACTCAAAATTCTTTTATCTTAGTCGATGATGAACTTGATTTTATTTCAGCAAATAAAGCATTAAAAAATTCATCATTAGTATCATCACCAATATTTATTCGAACACAATGGTTAAGTGATTCAATTAAACAAAATAAACTTTTATCACATCAATCTTATATACTTCATGCTACTATTCCTAATCCAATATCATCAATAACAGAAACATCTAATCCTACACATAAAGATGAAATAGTCACACAACAACCATCAATAAAACGAGAACGTTCAATATCATCGTCAACATCTGATACTGATGATGAATCAAATTTAAAAAAGGTATTTTCTATTAAATAGTTTCGTTAGTTTTGTTTGATTGTTTTTACATTATTAGCATAATATCAATATTCAACCAATCAAACCAGGTGAATTACCACGAACGGTATGAGAAGAAAGCTCTTTTCTTTTGCAGTTATCATAGAAGAATTTTGTAGACTGGTATATGGTTATGTTCTGAAGCTTCATCATTAACACCTGTTGTTGGTAATCCAAATGAGAAAATAATTGAAAAATTACGAGTAAATATAAAGTATTTTAAATTTTTTTTAATTATATTATTTTATTAATTTTTAGGAAATGTCTAAATTATATCTAATAACTAATGATAAAGGCCGTAGTATTGCATATCAAAAAGCTATCGAAGCACTTAAACGTTGTACACATCCAATTCGTACTTATGAAGTAAATCAAAATTTACTTCTCCTTTCAATTCATTTCTTTTTTTTTTTTCGTCTCAGGAAATCAAAGCATTACCATATGTAAAACAATCTTTAGCTGATAAAATTTGGGAAATAATTCGTACAAATGGACTTGTAAAATTATCTGCATTTCAATCACGTGATGATGTTGCTACATGTAAGCTAACAAGAAGATCTTGAATTATTTTTAATTTATATTTCTTTAGTGGCTTTATTTGCTGGTGTATGGGGTGCTGGTACTGAAACAACAAAACAATGGTTTGCACAAGGTTTTCGTACACTGGATGATTTACGTAAACGAGCTCGTCTTACACGTACACAGCAAATTGGTTTAAAATATTATAATGATTTTAATACACGTATTCCACGGGATGAGGTTGCTCGTATTGAAACAATTGTAAAAAACAAAATATTATGATTAAGAGAAAAACTCAAAATAAATTTTCTTTTTGATTAAGGTTAAACAAACAGCTGATGAAGTTGTACCTGGTCTAATGATTGAAACATGTGGAAGTTATCGTCGATTAAAACCATCATGTGGTGATATTGATATGTTAATTACATTTAAAGATGGAAAAAGACATTTACATGAAAGTGTCCTTGCACCATTAATTGATAAATTAAAAGACATCGGTAAAAAGCAAAATGAATTCGAACATTAATAAAAATTTGTATAGATTGAGAATTTGAGACCAGGAATGATGAGCACAGGGGAGCATTTAACACTAGTGTTCTGAACGGGTACGACTTTTCGCAACGGAATCCGGACTGGAGTTAATTGACATCCGACAAATACTTTCACAATCATAGTATGGTTTTCAAACTTGTATTTTATATGTAAAAGTATGCTATTTAGTTTCTTCCATAAACAGAAACAAAAAGAAGAGGTCATTCTGAATTCCACAGAAAAGCAAGCGATTCAGAATTTACTTGGTGTCTTTCTGCTGCTAAAATGCAATCAATTTCGCTAATTGCACGTTTGCTTGTAGCTGATGACACTGTAATGGAACGCAGCCTTAATAATAAATGTTATTATTGTAGATAAATACATGAATACTTTTTTCATCACGATAATACATGTTCACATGTTTGATAATTCATTTTCTTCTTCATATATTCAGTTACTTCGTATGCTTCATCATAATTTGTAGATGAAATTTGATTAAAATGAATTTTTTTATTAAAACAATGTCAATTTTTACTTCGGTGATCTGTTCTCAAGTACAATAAATTGCTTAGGTTATCATTCCTGTACTTTTATATAAATTAGCAGCTTGAGAAAATAAAAATATTTTAAAATGTCGAATTTTCATCAATTACCCGGTACTCTATTCAGTCTCAGAATGCTATTCAGTGGCGAAAGATTAAGCACGCAAAAATCTGAAGGGAAATATGACGTCTATTGGAAGATCAATAGATGTATATGGATGTGAGTGTTAATGTCGGTGTAGGAAAAGAGAACACGCATAGCTAGATCGACACCTACACCTATATACATTTATTGATCTTTCAATAGACTTCATATTTATCTTCATCCTCTCTTGCATGTCTAACTTTTCGGTGCTAAATGTTAACATATTCATTGTTTATAAATCTAAGAATTTTTTTTAAAGGATTTCTTACTGATGATTTGATTAATCATTCTGAAACATCATCATCGACAGGTCATATTTCAGAACAAATGACCTATTTTGGTGTGTGTCGTTTATCAGAACCAGAATCACTTGTAAGTATAGGGAAATCTGATTGAATTAAAGTTAATATTTATTCAATTAGCATCGTCGTATCGATCTAATATTTATACCAGCAAATGAATGGGCTTGTTCATTACTTTACTTCACAGGATCAGCTATGTTTAATCGATCAATGCGTCGTTTAGCTCGTCGTTTAAATATGTCACTTTCTCAACATGGACTTTTTCATGGTGTTGTACGAAAGGTATGAGAAAAAAACTCATTAAGAAAAATCTATGTGGATTTATTTAGGGTGTTGAAAAAATAAATACAGGTCAAGCATTGAATACACCAACTGAAGAGTCGATTTTTCAATATCTTAATTTACCATATCGACCACCAGAAGATCGAGATCATTGAAATATAATTATTAGAAGTAATATATATAATAAATGCTTTTTGATATTGAAGCATTGAGATTTTATTCTGATGTAGAAGACAGTTAGTATTGTTGGATTTGTTCAACTGATTTTTTTTCTGTGTGAAATAACAATGAATTCATACGTTTAAAAATATATGTGATCAACAGAATCATTATAAAATATTTCGGAAAAAAGTTTTTTTGAAAATAAAAAATGCAAGAGTAATATGCATGAAAGGGATTTTTTAAATATCAAATATTTATATATCTGGAATAATAAATGGAGCATACTATCAAACTCATATAACTAAATACAATCCTTATTTCATGAACAAGATTGTCCTTTTATTTTCTATCTAGCTTAAATAAAAAAAAAAAAAAATAATAAATTTTTTACAATTATATAGATGAGTGTTGTTATTTGAAATTTATGGATGCACTTTTTGGGCGACAGGCGTTGCTGTATAACCATCACTTTTAACATTTGCACCTTTACGATCATCTGCTCTTGTTCCAGCTCCACCATGTTCATCATTTAATTTTCCATATAGATGATTAATTGATAGTCGTGTATGATTATTTAAGTTTGATTGTGTTGTTGTTATGGATACCATTGATGATGATTCTATCGTTGAGGAGTTTGTTGTAGGTAAAATGCCTACATTTGTTTGATTGATATTTGTTAGTATACCAGCTGCATTTGGATATTGAAAATCGGATGTATTAGCATTTGGATAGGGATTGTGCGACATGGCAACAGAAAAATAGAAATATATATGTTTGTTTGTGTTATTCAGTCCTGTTTTTCTCTTTTATAATGGCAAGCAAGAAGATAGTACAGAAAAGGTAAGCGAGTGAAGAGAGAAAAATATAAGAACATACAAGGAAAAAAAATTGTTTTTAACGGAATTTAGCTCGTCGTCGTAGTTTGTCGACATAGGCTTCGGATGGAAAATTTATGTCGCCGGTCAATGGTTGGATATATAATTGATGATATTCTTTGGCTGATAGAACTTCATTCATATGATATTTTCGTTTGCGAACAACTTCTTCATCAGGATAAACTTGTTTTGTAATATCATAATTAATTGGAATAAGAAATTGGCGAGTATTCGACATTAATTATTAGTGCTGTTGTACTTTTGATACGCACAAGTTAGATGAAGTTTGTTTGAGCTTCTTAAGTTTCACTCAATGAAAAAATATATGTGATTGAGAAATGAAAATAGGACGAAAGAGAAAAAAACCTTATGCTTAGTATAGAATTTAAAAGAAAAAGAAAATCAATATTTGTATTTCATTTCAGAATTAGAAGTATTTTGATTTAATCAAACAAAGCCGAAACACATTACATGCATGAATAAAGTTAATCTGAAGTTAATTTATTCTTATTTTTATACTATGAAGATATTGTTTTAAAATTTGTATTTTAATAAATTCTATAAATAGAAATTTAAGATTTATGTTTTATTTATTGAAAATATCGAAATATAACTTACTAAAATTTATTCTTTTATAATACATATAATTTCATTTTGTTTTATATTTTAATCCTACATGTTTTTCGTTGACTAATAGCCAAAATATTATTGATTTCCTGTATTTCTATGAACAAGAACTATGAATTAGTTTAAAAGATTCGGATTCATGACTATCTTAGCCGGAAGCATGACATGACAAACAACAAATGAATCCTCCCGCTTTTTCATTATTGCAATTGATTAAACTTTAAAATTCTAATATAGTTATTTCGAAACTTTTTCTAGTTTCAGACAGTCCCATGACGTTCGACAGTTCACAGCTCTAATAACTCAAACTCAGTAAGCTCCTTCTACGTTAGGCCCATATGTATCATGTATGGAATGAGTTATCGTCGAAATATAATAATAGAAAAGCGTCTTTCTTTTTCATCAAGTTTCAGCTTGTGTCCTCAATTTCAATAGTTAACTTCCATTTTGAACTCGAAAAAAATTCGGCAGTCCTCGAATAGATAAGAAACAGTATTATGGTGTCTGTCTTATCTTTTGAATATTAAAAATGACGATACCAACTCATACACCATCTATGATTTTCAGATCTATAAACTTACATTATTCGATTGGATGCTTAACAAATCGAAATGATTCATTCTTTCTCTCGGCACTTCATCAGCACATTCTTATAGTCCATTGATGTTAACACGATTAACTATCCGTCAATTTTCAATTAATAATACAAAAACTGCTTCTCGTAGTCGTTTCTCACGTTTATATCGTTGGCTTGATGTCTATGAAGAGTTTGTTGGTCTTAAAGAAGTAAAACAAGCTCAAGCCGTCGTCAATGATGTAATATAAACGATAGTGAGACAGTTATGTTTCAATCTTGTTGATCGATTTATTTTTCTTTGTATATAGGCTGAACGTGCATTTATAACATCTCAAACACAACGTCGATTATATTCAGATGAATTAATGAAACTTCAATCTGAATTAGATCGTGTTCGATTGGAAATGGAAAAATTATCACGTAGTGATGATGCTTATTTAGAATTGTTTAAAAATGAACATGATTTAGTTAAAAAAGAAAAATTTGCTCAATTAGAATTAGAAAAACAAGATGATACTGAAAGACAATTATTTTCTTCGTTACAATTAGCATTACGCGAAAGTCAAGAAAAAGAAAAAATGCGTATTGAAAGGACAAAATATTGGTCAATCATTGGTTCTGTTGTTGGTGCTTTAGCTGGAATCGTTGGTAAGCATTTCATTCTTGTTGTTTTAATTTCAATATTTTAAATTTATTGTTCTAAAGGTGCAACATTATCAAACCGTTATCGTATGCAAGAATTTCGTAATATAACAAATCAATCACAAAAACTTTATGAAGATTTAATTATTAAACAAGAAATATCAATTAATGAATTAAAAAAAGACTTTTTAACTTTATCTTCAAAAGATCCTTATGAAAATATTCTATTATTAAATGAACAAAGTGAAGAACGTATTCAATCAAAAATAATTTATCATACTGGTTTTCTTTTACTTTCAGCTAGTTTTATATCAGTTATTATATCATATTTTTTGCATCGATAATAAAGTCATTTTATGGACCTTACGCACATATACTTTTCGAAAGAAAGTAGAGAGTCGAAGTTTTTCAGTTGCTCGTCTCTTACAGATCTTAATAACCGACGTCAAAAGTAATTGAATAGAAATCCTCCCCTAACAGCCGAGGACAACAGACACCATACTCATTTTTCATAGGTTTTTAACAACATTAACAAGGCGCTGAATGGCATTAACAACAAGGTTTACACTATTCTAGCAGATTCAGAAGCCTTTCTTAGAATACTAATAATAAAATAAAATACAATAAATAACCAACGAATAGTAGCAAGGTGACTGAAAAATAATGTATCGGTAAAAATAATATCAGAAAAAGACTTCTGTTAGTTTGCAGAAAATAATAAGACACATCATTTCTCGTGTGATCGATGATCCTTGCAATGAATCTATCGTCTGATAGAGATTTTTCACTTTACGGATATTGTGTTATTATAATGAAGCCAAAGAACATATGTAAAGGCCACATTTTAACTCCAAAGGAGCTGCATTAACATCTTTTATTTTCAGATGTTTTCATCTCTATTCAAATATTTAATCATTCAACAACAAAAAATTTTTCGATTACAAATAAAGACTTTATCTACTGTAAAAGATGGTGTGAATGACATTCGTGATACAGGAATTGTTAAACGATTTTCACAACATAAAGGTTTTGGTTTTATTAAACGAGACAGTAATGGAAATGATATATTCGTACATTTTCAATCAATTCTTGGTACTGGATTTAAAACACTTCAAGTGAAACAAACAACAAATTTTATTATGTATTAATGAAGAATTTGATTTTCAGGAAGGACAACAAGTTGAATTTAAAGTATTTCAAGGAGTTAAAGGTCTTGAAGCGCGAGTAAATATTTATGATTATTTGTTTTTTTTAATATGTATTTTAAATTTTTTATTTTTATTGAATGTCATTGTAAAAGATCAATTATCCGATATGAAGACTAGTCAAGTTGAAACATTTAAAACTCTTACAAATGACCGACATATTGGCATTATTAGGAAATTTATGTACGTTGAAGAAAAAAAAGTTATTTGAGAATTATTCTTTTGTTTCTTTTTTGTCCCGAATAGTAAAAATCGTGGTTTTGGTTTTATTACAAGAAAAAGTGATGGTGCAGATTTATTTGTACATTCTCGTTCAATTCGTCATACTGGTTTAGAATCTGTTGAAGAAGGAATGGAAGTTGAATTTTTAGAAGTTCAAAGTAATCGTGGTGCTGAAGCAAAAGATGTTCGTATTATTAACAAAACCGATTCAATAGAAAATACTCGTGGGATAGAACTTTTTCCATTTGTAAAATTATACTAAGATTTTGTTTTAATAGGGAATCAAAAACAGCAGTTTGGCATAACTAATGATCAATATTCCGATACAAAAATAAACGAACAAGAGACAGGAATAATTAAACAATGGAATGTAAGTTATTTACTTTCAGTAAAAGTATAAGAATAAAGTTTTTGTCTGAAAAAGAAAGAACGTGGGTTTGGTTTTGTTCGTCGAACATTAAATGGAAAGGATTTATTTGTTCATGCAAAATCACTCAAAGAAAATCTTCAAGAATTAGAAATTGGTCAACAAATTCAATTTCGAATACAACAAACTGAAAAAGTAAATTTTTCTTATTATGTGAAATTTAAACTTAAAAGTTTTGTTTCAAGGGTGAAGAAGCATCGGATGTATATTTGATTAAAAGCGAATAAAAACAGTTATTGATGATGAAATAAAATTTTCTACGAAAATAAATCTAAATTAATTTTTGAATAAGAAGACTTGTAGAATTATATTTAGATTTTAATCATTAAATCAAAGAATATTTATTTTTAAATTTAATTAAACTTTTTCTTAATTAAAAGTCACTGTATTTGATTTTGTAATATCCATTGAAAAACGATAAGAAATTTCTTTAATATTGTCTTCGATAAGCTCCTAATGGTTCAACATTATTAACAAAACAACTTTCATCAAAACGTTGTTCTGATCGACGTCCCATATCATAACGACAAACTTGTGATGTACTTCTTAATCCTCCATAAATCGAGTCAGGACTATTAACGAAACCAGCAAATGATGCTGTACCATAGATTCGTTGAACATATTCAACATAACATGTTCGATAAATGACAAATAATGAAACTGATATACCAATAATAAATATAATCGATATAGCAGCAATTATGGTTGATCGTTCAACAGCACCTTGTGTTGCTAATGATGTGCGACCATAAAGTGCTTCTATATATATAGATATATTTTTAAAAAAAACTTGTCAATGTAGTTTATTTTGAACTAAAATGTGAGACTCACATGTATACAAAATACGTTAATAAGGGTACTATTACAACTTTAAATCCGTCGCTTGAATTAAAAATTGGACCCACAAGGAGGTTTCGGTAAGACTAAAATAATTCTAAAAGGATTCGTATCTATGAACGTCTGGAGTCGAGCTATCATTTTTTTACTGAATTTTTAACCCATCTTTAGGTATCTACTGGAAAATCAACTAGTGGAATTTCAAACTGAATTTCAGTCTATAATTAGATTTAAAGATCTTTCGAACATTCATTTATCGAGATATTGAATTTCCAAAAAATGGTCGTTTACAACAAACATGCCACGAAAATCGAGTTTGCTTGAAAATTCAATATCTCGACCACGGAATATTCTTTTTGGAGAAAACTCTCAGAATATGCTAGGGACCATTAGATTTATTTATGAGTAAAATTTCAAGTAGAAATTCCATTATTAGACTTTCCAGTAAACATCGAAAAATGGGTTAAAAATTCAGTCAAATGATCATAACTCGGTTTCAGAGGCCAATGAGTATGAACCCTTTTAAACTTTTTCTAGCCTTATCGAGACTTCCTTATAGACTGAATATGAACTCAAACAGCGAGTTACAGCTTGGGTAGCTCCCTCGTTAGTGAAAAATCTCTAGCAGACTATAGTTATTTTCCAAGAATAGTTGATCGTTCGGGAAAAGATCAGTCTTACTTATGTCTGCATTTTGAACAGAATGCTGTTTTTCTCTTTCTAAAACCACAACCTGAAATGAGTCTTGAAGCATAGAGGGTAGAAATTTGCATTCCCTACAGATTGTAGCAGACGGTTTTGAATTAAAGATCGCATATTCGTAATGTCTTATTATAATATATGAACTACTTCCTCTTTGCAGTTCTGGAGGATTAAACAAAACAATGGTGAAGAAATGTACTCGAAATTAGATAGAATAAAACAATCTTGCTATAATTAGCGGCAACATTATGCTTCACATTTTAATCTCACAGGGATTGTGCTAACATCTTTTTCTACTGGCATTCAATTTTTTGTTTCACTTGTTGCTATTCGCTCGTTGTTTATTTTGCGATTTCGTTTTTCTAAATTTAGCATTATCATTATTCTGACCATTGGTTTAACTGGAAAATAAGCCTTTGTAAGGATACATTGTACATGCAGCAGATCTCAAAGCACTATAATACATCTTTAGAAGCTCAGAAACACTACTATTGATGTTTTTTGATGGTTATAACTTGAGCAGTTCACGCTTTTTGTGTTGATCATCTAATGATTGCAATAAATTAATGTGTCATGACCTATCATCCTAGACATCTTGAATATAAATTTTTATCTGCGAAAAATCACAAACTGCATTATGTAGAACATTCACATATGCATCGTAGCTCTTCAGATTTCGAGAAAGACTTTGGAATGTCCTAGAACAATCTAAATTTTATTGTTAATATTACTCAGCGCCTTTTTAGCGTTTATGTCCGGAAATGCGACGATCATCATCACATCGAGTAAATCATTCATCATCGATAGATTCAGCTCCATTTGATTATGTTGATGAAGATAGTGCTAGTGTTGTTGTATTAAAACGACGACAAACTTCTGAAAATGATGATGAACATCNGTGGGTGTGGGTGTGGGTGTGGGTGGTGTGGTTGTGGGTGTAGTGAACCGAATATACCCCCGCATCCCACACCCACACCCACACCCATACCCCCACACCCAAACCAACACACACCCACACCCACACCCACACCCCACACCCACACCCCACAGCCACACCCACAGCCACACCCACACCCCACACACACACCCACACCCACACCCTCATATCTTCATACAAGTTGGTATGGTATTAGCAAATAACTAGTCGGTTTTCAGTTATAAAACCACGATTTCAATCAAAACTAACGTGTGCGCCAGGTTACATGGACTTCTCAGTATTTTTGCAATAACTCTTTCAATTTTCATCGAATCCGGCTAATGTTTTTTTTTTAAATTCCCCATGTCAAGATCTACAAAAAACTGTTCTTTTTATTAACGTAAATAATTTCCATCATTTTGAGAGACGCTATACAATCGATTAGTCCAACTAGCACAACTTTCAAAAACAACTGATTCGCGAATTTTTTTAACAGACGATTTTAATTGTTGAATCAGTGCTGTTTTTGACTTGACTTTGTCCCAATCGATAGTGTTGACAAGTTCATCCCAAATTGAATAGTCCAAATGATTTAAATCCGGACTATTTGAAGGTCAACGATTCTTGTCAATAAACGATGGAAAATTGTCCCGACACCATTGTTGTGTTAAATGATGTTGGTGTGGCTTTGTGCCGTTCTGCTGAAAGATCCAGTCGTTCCCGAAAACTTCATTTTCATACTTTAAGGCTACGGGAAGTACTTTTTCGATAAAACAACTATGATTGACAGTTCCTTCATCCAAAATCACCAAGGGCGTAACACCCTTGGAACAGGCTCCCAACCACACCATTACTTTTTGTGGGAACTTTTGTTTTTGCTTGATACCACCTTTTTTTATCGGCATCAGCACAATTTACTGCCCACATTCGATCATTTTGAGTATTATAGACACCATCGATGTCAAAGAACTTCTCATCCGAAAAGAGAATTTTTAACGTTTCTTCTTTCCGAAATTTTGTTCGAACCCAGTTTGCGATTTGTTTCCGTTTGACCTTTTGATCATCGGAAAGTAATGGTTCGATTACTTTTTTTATAAGGTTTTAGTCCCAAATCGTTTTTTAATATTCGCCTGACACTTGTTGCAGAAATATAGAGCTCGATTAATAGTGTCCGAGCTGATACTCTTTTTTTTCGGCGTAAACGGTTTTTCACTTTTTGAATATTCTTTTTTGTCCTGATTATACGTGGACCAACAGGTGGACTTGATAGTTGAATAGAGCCAGTTCGATGAATCATCTGGCACCACCTTTTGATAGTTGTTAAACCAAGACCACCATTTAAATCATGATAGATTTTTGTTGAAGTATCGCCATTTTTAGTACTTTGAAAGTACGACGTTTTGAAGATCTTTACTTTTCATTACCTCAAATCTTGTATGTACTATGAGTTTATGTATTAAATGGATAGATTTGTAGAACTCAAGATGGCGGATCTTTAAAAACACTTTAATCCAATCGAATGAAAATTGAAAAAGATATCGCTAAAATACTGAAAGGTCCATTTATCTTGACGCACCCATTATCTCTTGAACAAAAGATAAATCAATCCACTACTCTCAACTCTTACCTTTCAGTAGTCGATTTTTCAGTTGAATTCAAAAATAGAAGTAGTAGTTGTTGTGCTTAAAAATCAAAGAATAATGCAGAGTGTGGGTGTGGATGGATCAAAGAACTACAGTCACATCCACACTCTTATTATAATTATTTTGATGAACAATGGCGATTACATATTTGGAAAAATTTTACATCGTATTCTATTTTCGACAATATTGCTTAGGATGAATTCGAAAAAAAAGGATATCCAAACAAGAAAACATATTTACACAAAATGAATATTATAAAGTATGTAACAGATATATCGTTAATTATCCCAGTTTCGATTCAAATTCTACCTGAACATCATTTCTCTATCAAATAATTTAGGTAAGACATGAAACAGGAGTACTCATCGAAATTAACTGTATACAACTAGCTATTGTACTTCTAAATCAAGATGGACCAGAAGTAGCATTAGGACCTCCATCAACCACATACGAAGACCAACGTGAAACCTTATTATGGCAACAACATGCTGTAATCTATCAAATGGGTAAATATACATTTTAAGTCATCTAAGAAAATTCATACTACAGCATGCATCATTTTTCGCTAGCCAATAGACCAAAATGAATATTTTCACAAAACACAAAACCAAAAAGTTCATAATTAACAATCAATCACTTCCTATGACTTCTGTTATCCTAGACTTTTAATGCCTCATTTTTGTCCAAAAACTTAATAAACAGTACCAACAGAGAATATGCCAGTGCTTCAAACGCTTCCATAAACTGATGACTTATTTTCCTAATATTTGAACTACCATGAAACCATTTTCTGTTGTTCTACGAAATGTTTTTTTTTCATAGAAAGAACGAAATACAGCATATATGCCATCCGACTTATCTCATTTTTCTATTCAAATATGAAGAAAGATTTTTCAATTTTCTACATACATATTCACCATAGCACACGTATTCACATTCCACAACAATGGGATACATGACACTTCATATAGCATCGAAATACCAAAGGTATTGTGGTAGCTATAGCACACCCACATCCTCAAGTAAAGTGAAATATTTATTTATATGTTCAACGTTAGTCGTGGATACTAGAGTAGATATATGCGTTACACAGGCGTGAAAGAGCTACAGAATATATACTATGAAAAACAACATGATTTCAATAAAGCGACTTGCTAACTTTCCTTTCATCGTTAGTTTATTAATTGAATTGAATTTTATTCTTCACGAATAAATATACTTTTTACAATTCACTAAGCCAATGCTAATTGTTCTAAACCATTTATAGAAACTTTCGTGATAGAATTTCAAAATAGAGTTGAGCGAAACTTAATCAGCCGACGTGTTACTTGTAATTTAGATTTTTGTTAGAAATATTGAATAACCAAAATGATATCATTTTCTGTTTATCAACTTCAAGCAAAACAGAACAAATTTTATATTATTACATAAAGTACTTTTAAATAACAAAAATATTTGTAGAATAGCGAAAGTAAACTTATCATTTTGTTATCAATTAAAAGACAAGAATATATTTACCTGAGATAAACTCACATTCACTTGTGCATATGCTTTTTTTCTTACTTAAGCATAAGTCTACTCTTGATAAACGTAAAAATGTTAATCTATTCTTTTATTATTCTTGTCTTATGGGATTCTATTTATTCACTGAATAATGGACTTGGTAGAACACCACAGATGGGTTTGTATAAAAAATTCATTCATAAGAGACTAATAATACGAAATCAATTTGTTTACTAGGATGGAATGGTTATAATCATTTTGGATGTTATATGAACGAAACAATACTTCGTGCAACAGCTGATGCACTTGTTGCTACTGGTTTAGCTAAAGCTGGTTATACTTATGTTAATATTGATGATTGTTGGGCATTATCTCGTGATCCAACAACAAATTTTATTATTTCTGATCCAGTAATGTTTCCATCTGGCATGGCATCATTAGCTGATTATGTTCATTCTCGTGGTCTTTTATTTGGCCTCTATTCGGATGCAGGATATAATACTTGTGCTGGTCGTCCAGGCTCATTTGGCTACGAAGAAATCGATGCACATGTATATGCACAATGGAAAGTTGATTATCTAAAATATGATAATTGTCATTCATTTTCAACACATAAGACAATCCGAGAACGTTATGAACGTATGCGAGATGCATTAAATCATACAGGTCGCCCAATATTTTACTCAGCATGTGAATGGGGTCAAATGTTACCAGCAATTTGGTTTAGTACAATTGCAAATTCCTGGAGAACAACGGGAGATATTAGTGATAATTGGTATTCAATGTTATTCAATATTGATGTCAATGATTTATTTGCTGATTCTGCAGCACCATATGGTATTTAAATAAAAAGATAAACCTTGTTCTTTGAATCTAGTTATTACTCTTTCATTCCAATAGGTTTTAACGATCCTGATATGTTAGAAGTAGGAAATGGAGGCATGACATTAAATGAATATCGTACTCATCTGAGTTTGTGGTCAATAGCTAAGGCACCATTAATTATTGGTTGTGATGTGCGAACTATATCAAGTGAAACATTAGAAATTTTAACAAACTCAGAAATTATTGCTGTTAATCAAGATTCTCTGGGTATACAAGGAAAAAAAATACGTATTGATCTTGTTCATGATACTGAAGTTTGGGCTGGGCCATTAGATGATGGATCAAAAGCTGTTGTTGCACTAAATCGAGCAAATAGTACAGCTGAAATAATTTTAGTTTTATTTACTGATTTAGGTTGGCCACCGACAAGTCGGGTGCATGTGCGCGATCTTTGGTTACACAAAGATATTGGACAGTTTCAAGGAAATTATACAGCTTATAATATTGAGTCACATAGTGTTCAAATGCTTAAAATGACTCTTATTACATTATAGACAAGTTTCGCTTGGAATTCTAGTGTTTTAAAACTTTGTAATGAAATAAAATGTTTTTTATGTATTAGTCATCTAAATGTTCTATGAAATCTGGCATTATAATTTTTTTTCGAAACAATGTGATAGAAATTTTGAGTTTTAATAAAAGCTGGAAATATTTTTGAACCCTACTTTAGTTTAAAAACAAACATTTCATTGTTCTATTTTTATCTTTCATTTCAGTACTGTTATGATAGTTAATTATGTTTGAAACATCAAATGATTTACTTCAATCTTTCTATGATTGAACACTATTTCATAGTGTCTTGTAGTTCAATCTGATAACCAGTTCGACTCGAAGCCTTCGCCCAAATTCAAACTTGTCGGATTGATTTGCCTTTCAAGTATGATCTCATATCTGGATTTGGTCTCGGTAACCAATGAGACCTCGACGTGACAATATATTTCAATTTTTTTCCAATCACTCATTTACATAAAAGTATGCAATTGAAAATTGTATTTATGAGCAGGTCAAAGAAATGTAAAATAATATTTTTCTACTAATAGAATGTATTTTTATTAAAAGATTCATGTACATAGCATGATAAATCATGTGATGAAGTGACTAAATACATAAAGAAAATTGAACTTATATCATCATGATAAACGAGCAATCATGTACCTGTCCATAATTATCATATTTGATAACAATAGTATGTGCTCTATACCAGTGTCATTAGCAATAGACAAATGTATAATTATCAAAATTAACTTGATTTTAGAAGCAGGACGATTACTAGAAAATTCTGAGTTGCTTGTATTTTTTTGTGAAATTTGAAAATGTCTCTATTTTTTATCACTGCTTATGGAATAAACAGAGTATCACTTTTTTCTATAAAATAAAAATAAAAAAACTGTACTACAGGGTGCGGGTGTGGGTGGTTGTGCATGTGGGGTGAGGGGTGTGGGCGAATGTGGGTGTGAGTGGGTAGGTATGAGTGTGAGTGTCTGCATGACTATCAATCCTGTCTTCCATTTACACTCACACCCAATCCGTGAAAAATCCGAAAATCCACGAGCAATGTCCTCTTTTAAATGAAGGAATTGCGAGCTCAAATATTTATCATATGTAGGCCTCATGGTCCTCGAAATATCCTAAAATTTTCAACGTAAACGAATGTTTTCTTCTTAAGACAATCAACTTTCAAGGAAAGTGGATTTTCTGACAGTGCTGCGAAATATGAGTATTTCTTGCGATAGCATTATCTTCAGGAAAAAACATCCGTTTGTGCTGAAACTTTTAGAATATTCTAAGAACCACACGACCTACGTATGATAAGAATTTCAACTCGAAATTCCTTTATTTTCTAGAGGACATCGCTGGTGGATTTCGGGATTTTCAAAATCCGAAAGTCCAAAAGAAATCCAAAAAATCCAAAATCTGCCGTTTTGCCTTGATTGAGATGCAAATTTGTGTAAGCTACCTATTATAAAAATACAAATATAAAAAACAAAATTTGCCCTTGAAATCGTTCTAAGTCATCATTACATAGTGAGTCAATGATTGGCAATAGCAATATTCATGTTTCGAATGATGTCAGGAGCCTATTAAATGCTTATATTGCAGAGGCAATCCTATATTGCTTTTACGATGTTTTTTCTTCTACAAAAATTACTTCTTGGGAGAAAAATTAAGCGCTTAAGAAGACAGTGGATCAATATCGAATTTCTTTTTATCGAAACATCACGCAGTGCACTTCTTCCCTGTCGACAAATGCAAAAATCATTGTCTCTTCATTATATATAAAAATTAGCGCCACCGCCATTCTGTCTCATTTCAACGCAAGCGATGCTTTCAACAGTAATTCGTTGTTTTGTATTCGTTCTATTCAGGTAATTCTAAAATCTATTTTTTTCCTATTCATCTAATGTTGAACAATTTCCCTTTTAAGTCTTACAGGTTTGATTCTTGTTTTGTTTTACATGCCCTCATATTACTTTAGTATGTTGTTAGTTCGAGTGAAATCTCAATTGTACCATGGAATTGCTCAATATCATCGATGTTCGTCAAATAGTGCGTGTGCCTGTTTCCATATAGCAGGTGCTACTGACATTGGCATTTGTAGCGGTGGATTCGTCGATTGTTCTGAGCTAGCTCCATGCGAACAGTCAACCAACCTTTGTCGTGAACCTAACCATAGATGTGTTCATCATCCTCGATGTCATAATCTGCCTATTTGTTATCCAGTCTCTAGTTCCAATCAACAACTCTGTCCACCGATAGCAAGTAAGAGAACAAACAGTGATCTACAGATTCAAGTGAAAGCCGAATTTTTCTTAAAGTTATTTCTTCATCGTTCACATATTTTCACATATACAGTTCATGTTAGTGTAGGAGCAGTGGGGAAGAGTTGAAGAGCCTACGAAAAAGTAGATAAAGCATCAGAGAGACAAAACGAATTGTAATCATTGGAAAAAAGATTTCATTTCTTTTCATGGATTCTATCCATTAATTTGAAATGCAGAGTCTGTTTCAGTTATATTTAGCAATGCATGAAGACGCAATGAAATTTTTAATGTATGCCAAAGACCAAAGCAAATTGAACAATTGATCATTCGATTCGATTCTGTAGAACATGTCATATATTAGGATCTCCATAAGAGCACTTAAATTCTATTGTGCCACGTTTCTCTTTATTCACAGTTTCCGTTATATACTCGACTGAGTCTAGTGAATATGGAGTTTACTCGACAGCCTTTTTTTAAAACAACTGCTATTGACATCTAAGTCGAAAGAAAACGCATTTATGATTCTCTCTGTCATGCTTCTAATGGCTAACCTTGCGAAATTGAAGACTGATCATTTAGCTGTGACAGAGTAATCGCTAGAGCTCAAGAGTGCTTTAGCCATTGAATTGAATGAATATGTCACTAATGATCAGTAGGGCAATTGTGTATGCAAACTATATTTCACAGCTTGTAGCACCGCTGTCTCAGCCGCCTCAGAAAATATTAATAAGCAAAGAATGCATGTTGGCGGGATTCCCTTGACATGGTTAATTATTTTGGAGGCTATGCCTGCTTGTATCACACATTTTAGATTTCTTTCTTAATGGGATCCCCTCCCCCTTCCAAGGTTTCTTGAGAACGGTTCGGCAAAAAATGATGAAACTTTCAGGACAGATAGATCTCGATGAGTAGAGCAAAAATTGTTATACACTCAAAAGTTATAGATCCTTCCTTCAGGGAGATATAGAGTCCCCAGGGCCAAAAATGAGTAGAAGTTTTCCTCCCGGCAAAACTTTATACTACGTCTTTCTGAGCTGAATTTTTTTTGTAATAACTAGGATCAAATTGTGGCATGCCTCGCCTTTTCTTCGAAAAATATTGTTCCTACAGCTCAGGGGAGGCGAAATACGGGAGGCACTATCAAAAAACGTGTTTTTTCAATGGTGCTAATCTTCCAAAGGCTGCCAATTTTCATAAGAACAATATTGTCAAGAAAGAAAAAAAAAAGACACCCCAATTCGATCAAAGTACTTATTAAAAAAAAACTTAGAGTCCAATCGCTTTTACTGCACGGAAGAAAAGGGGGGAAACCTCATGTATTTTCTTTGAAAATTTGATTTTGTAAAAAACGCAAAGAAAATTGCACTTTTTGGCTTTTTTAGCATAAAATTGAGTTTTTTTTAGGTTTTTAGATACAAAAAGATGGTTTTGCCTTCTTAAAATGTGTCCTTCAGATAGAGGGCATTTAAATCCATATACCCAACATAAAAAAAAGAAAAACGAAAAAACTGAAAATGCTGGGTCGGGAAATGAAGGGGATCCCCTTAAGGGAAGAATGTAAATATTCAAAGTGTCTGACAACAAGTGGGATGGGAGAGAGAGATAGAGAGTGCTTGTAACAACTTATCTCTACAATATTCTTCGGTTCTTTCGAGTATCTCTGTATAGTCATTTCACTCACACTGCTGATATGACGGCAGGATATTCCAATGATCTAAGACGAACACACTGACATGTGGGCAATTTATGTGACAGGTTGAAATCACAAACTTCATGCTTCGAATAACGATCTTGTACTGTAACGACAGTCAGTACATTTATATCCTTTACTCGTATTTAAAATATAACAGAAGCAATGAATTTGAGCAGAAGAGTTTCGATTTGATTTGATTCAGCCAAATCAGATCGAATACATTTGTCGAAAATTTTACTGAGTTTTCGGTTCCAGATGGACGCAGAGGCTTTCCATCAAAAAACAGTTTTTAAAGGAAAAATATCCTTTTTCAGGCCATTTGAGATTGGTGCTCTACTTTGAAACACTGCTTAGACTTCATCTAAAAGTGATGTGCACCGAGTTCTATATTTCATTATATCTCAGACTTAAAACTATCTACTTTGTTTACACAAATGTTCTTTGATAATGAATAGCAACGAACCCTACAACTGCAACTACAATGCCAACTACAAAGACAGAGTGTGGATGTGGGTGGAAGTGGGTGTGTGTAGTTTGGTTTACTCACACCCATGCCCCACGCACACTCCACACCCACATTCACACCCAAAAATCAATTCTAGGATATCCTAAAAAGGTTTCAGATAGTAACAAATTGGAAACCCTCTTTGAGTTTTCTCAGACACCTTTTTTTCGCAGTGTATGCAACTGTAACGAATGAAACAGATTAGGCAGAATGACTTTTATGACGAAAATCGAACAAGAGCAGCGTGGCGCAGAGGTAGCGCGTCGGTCTCATAATCCGAAGGTCGTTAGATCAAAACTATCCGCTGCTATGATGACTTTTTAAAATTTTTTGCTTTCTTCGTACCTGAAAAATATGATGCAACGCATTGCAGTACAGGACAGACAAAGAAAACTATTGGACAATAAAGTACCGTTGAATACGCATCGCTGTGCAAAATGATTCACTGAGTACTCCTTTGATTGACGCACATAAATTCATTGGCAATGTAAATTCTACTCTAATAAACTCTCTGATTCTCCATCATTGTAAATTCTTTATCTTCGGAATCAATGAATCATTTCGAATATACAGTGCATTAAAATGTGATATTATTAGTCCAAAAAGTAATTTCAAATTTCCTTCAATAAATTCATTTATTAAGATTGTTTTATAGGCTTGACAAACTGTTTGTGTGTATTATCGTATACCTTGAGCTCTATTGAAAATGATTAGTATAGTCAACAATACAGGCTGTGCGCATTCAGCAAACGAAATATATAGCTTTCAAGGCTTCATTGTATTCAGTTTGCGATAAAGAAAGTTTTTCCTTAGAAGATATGGGTGTGCTTGTTTGTGTAAAAATGAGTATCCACACTCAAATCCAACTGGGACCGAACATCGCTGTAATGTTTCTTTTTATTTGATGCGTGCGAAGGAGGGCTAACATTGAGCCAAATCAATTTTTGATACTTGCTTTCTGGATTCAGGAAAACTCGATTTGGGGTGTGGGTGATGTTTAGTCTTTTACTATCACATCCACCCACAGCTACAGCTACAGCTACAGCTACAGCTACAGCTACAGCTACAGCTACAGCTACAGCTACAGCTACAGCTACAGCTACAGCTACAGCTACAGCCACAGTCTGATCACACACCCACACCCACACCCACACGCACACCCACACCCACACGCACACCCACACCCACACGCACACCCACACGCACACCCACACCCACACGCACACCCACACCCACACACACACCCACNAATCTTGCTATAATTAGCGGCAACATTATGCTTCACATTTTAATCTCATAGGGATTGTGCTAACATCTTTTTCTACTGGCATTCAATTTTTTGTTTCACTTGTTGCTATTCGCTCGTTGTTTATTTTGCGATTTCGTTTTTCTAAATTTAGCATTATCATTATTCTGACCATTGGTTTAACTGGAAAATAAGCCTTTGTAAGGATACATTATACATACAGCAGATCTCAAAGCACTATAATACATCTTTAGAAGCTCAGAAACACTGCTATTGATGTTTGTTGATAGTTATAACTTGAGCAGTTCACGCTTTTTTTGTTGATCATCTAATGATTGCAATAAATTAATGTGTCATGACCTATCATTCTAGACATCTTGAATATAAATTTTTATTTGCGAAACATCACAAACTGTATTATGTAGAACATTCACATATGCATCGTAGCTCTTCAGATTTCGAGAAAGACTTTGGAATGTCCTAGAACAATCTAAATTTTATTGTTAATATTACTCAGCGCCTTTTTTTCGTTGCTAAGAACCTCTAACAAACTAGTCTGACGCCTGTTGTCGCCAGTTGCTATGGAAATGTATCCAATTACTGTTGGTATCCTCTCTGTACTACTAGGAAAGAGATACTCATCGGTCTCTGATCCCCGTTTCTATGAGAGGACGGAGTCGTACAGACTTGACTTAAACTTACACTTGCTATATTTTTCTTCGAAAAATATATAATGTGAGTTTCACAAAATAAATAAAAATTACTTACCATAAGGTAATTTACGTTTATTTGCTGATTGTGCTAATGGCATTTCAATAGTAAATTGTTGTTGTATTTGTCTTATTTCATAATGATCATTTTTGGATTCAAATGATCTTGTCAAATCAGTCATTAATCTTGATACTTTTTGATGTTCATCATCATTTTCAGAAGTTTGTCGTCGTTTTAATACAACAACACTAGCACTATCTTCATCAACATAATCAAATGGAGCTGAATCTATCGATGATGAATGATTTACTCGATGTGATGATGATCGTCGCATTTCCGGACATAAACGCTAAAAAAAAATAAAAATAGACTTTATAAAAAAAAAAGAAAACAAAAGAAAAAGAAATTTTCTATACTTCTTGACAATTTTCTATTCGACCAAAACATACTGCAATTGAACATCGTAAATAAACAACAGATGTTGTTTGAAATTTATGTATTTGAAAAATAGTACTTTTTATATGATATGGATCAATCCGTTGAAAACGTATTGATAAACGTGAATCAATTGATGGGCAACGATTAGTTAATAATTGAATTTTTTCTAATTTAACATCATTATCAGAAACACTTGAAGCTATTGAACAATTTTCTGCAATTATTTGATGACGATCAGGATTATGAATATCTTTAAAAAAAAGTAAATGTCAACAACAAGAACAAAAATATATAAATATAAATCAAACTTGTTCGATATTTTATTTCAACAAATAAACGGTCACCAATAAAAACTGAACCACCATTATCAATTAATCGTTGTTGATTTACATCATATAAACCAAGTATAAGATCACCTTGATTAACAATTCGACTCGTTGATAATGGTGTTACACCGAGTATACTAGAAAAAGGAAAAAACAGAATTTTATTTATTTTTTAATTTTATATCAAGTTAGAATACATTACCTTTTTCTTAAAGATTGTGTAGCTGGTAGAAAATATGTTGTTGTTCGATCATTACATAAATCATTTTCAGTCGGACAAAAACATTTATCCATATAATCATCAGAATTTTCATCCAAGCAAATACCATTACGTTTAATGCATGATGCACATGCATCATCGACTGATGCATTGATTACTCTTACTAAAAGATAAACAAATTTCATTTGTGAAAAAATAGTTTGTTTTGCTTTTGTACAAACCACAATGAGTTTTATTTATAGCCATATATTGCTCTTTGCAAACACATCGAAAGGCGTTTCCACCAATACGTTTACAATTGGAATTTAAACTAGCACATGTACCTGGCATACAAAAATCACCCAAATTATGTTGTGATTGAGCTGTAGCTGGAAAGAAAAATGAACTGACACTCAAACTAATATTCTTCTAATATTTAAAGCAAACCTCGCCGTTTGGCATCAATAATTTCTAAACACCATAAACTGATAATCAATAACAGAAAAGAACACTTGTACATTTTTAAACATATAGTACAATTGAGATGTTCTTATTTGCAAGATGTGATCAAGATTTTTTTCTTTTTCTGATCGATACTCGTCAATATTAATCCTTATGTCATCATCACTCTCGTTCTCATATCTTTAAGCCAATTATCATCGTTGTTCGACCCGATCATCATATGTCCACCCACTGGACTATGTCATCGGAATGTTACTACGGATTCAAATACTCTATTTACTTAAACATTTAGGCTATAGGTATTATACTTTATTTTGTTTTGAAACATTTTTTCATTCGAAAAATTTTGATACTTATTTCAAGTTCAATAACAACAAAATTAAAATAAAGTCTTGAAAAAACAAAATGCGTACTGCTTCAGATCAACAACATTCCCATTCTCGTTCTATTGATCGTGATAATCAGAGGAAACTGAAAAAATTCTATTAAATAATAAGTAGTAATGTCGCCGCATTTCATCGATCTACAAGAACAGCAAAGTATTCACGAGTGTCCTGATCATTTCTTCCAAATACTCACTGAGTATCTATTAGATGACCTTGATTGTATTTTCGTTTGGTTCATACACTTTCGTCGATTTCCATCACATGATTAATCCCATCAGTAATAGCAGGATGACGAATAAAATATTTCACATTTAAATCGCGCATACAATTGTTCGAATTGGCGATTGTTGCATCATCTAATATATTAACAATTTCGTTTAATAAACTTATGCGAGTCTAATTCTTGAGACGAATACATCATTAAATCTAATATTTGTTACAATGTAAACCCACTCCGAGAAAAAACGTACTATCACATAAAGAACGAGAAGGCTTACATATATGACAACATCACTTCCATTTGTCGGTTGATTTTGCACAAGCGTCCAAATACTAGTTGTTGTGCTTTTTTGGACATAGTTTGGTTGGATAAACATGTAATAAATCGATCCCTTGGCAAAAATCGTTTGTTTTCTTTCCACTGTGGAAGTTGGTTCATTCTAATGGCATATATTTAAATCATCGACAGAAGATAATGGTGAATATACCATAGTAATCTTCAGAATGATTAGAGAGAAATGCTATCATTTATAAAAAAGTTTTTCATACTATTCTTAATTTCATCAATCTCTTAATTGGATCTTCTCTTTTCGAATTAATTACTTTTTTAATCTATTACTTCAAGAGATATAAAAATTTACGCCCTCTTCCGTTTCCTTAGCGACTTATTTTTTTATTGAGTGAACGAGACGAACCAATAGAGTGACGACAAGGGCTGTTGTTGATCATCTGAAGAAGTCCCCAAAAGATGATATCATTTGTTGTTAATGAACTTCATGCAAAAAAAAAACAAATTTTGAATGATTACAGAAAGTATTTTTAACAAAAAAAACTGTTTATGAAAAGAAACTTATCATTTCGTTATCGATTAAAAGAAAAGAATATATTTATCTGAGAGAAACAAACGCACACCTATATACACATAGTTTCTTTCTTATATAAGCATTAGTCTACACTTGGCAAACTTAAACATGTTATTCTTTGCTTTTCTTATTCTTATTTTATTTGATTCGATTTATACGCTTGATAATGGACTTGGTAAAACACCACAGATGGGTTTGTTCAAGAAATCTATTCCTAAAAAACTAATAATATGAAATCAAATATTTTATTAGGATGGAATAGTTGGAATCATTTCGGGTGCAGTATTAATGAAACAATAATTCGTTCAACAGTTGATGCACTTATTTCTACTGGTTTAGCTCAAGTCGGTTATACCTATGTTAATATTGATGATTGTTGGGCATCATCTCGTGACCCAACAACAAATTTTATTATTCCTGATCCGAATGGATTTCCATCAGGTATAGCGTCATTAGCCGATTATGTTCATTCTCGTGGTCTTTTATTTGGCCTTTATTCGGATGCTGGATATCAAACTTGCGCTGGTCGACCAGGTTCATTTGGTTACGAAGAAACTGATGCACATATATATGCAGAATGGAAAGTTGATTATCTTAAATATGATAATTGTAATTCTTTGCCAACACATAAAACAATAAAAGAACGCTATGAACGTATGCGAGATGCATTAAATCATACAGGTCGACCAATATTTTATTCAGCATGTGAATGGGGTGAAATGTTACCAGCATTATGGTTTCGTACAATTGCAAATTCATGGAGAACAACAGCAGATATTAGTGATAATTGGTATTCAATGTTATTAAATATTGATATCAATGATTTATTTGCCGATTTTGCAGCACCACATGGTAAAAAAAGAAAGAAAAAAATTTTCTTTGAACTTGATACCTTTTCTTTTATTTGAATAGGTTTTAATGATCCCGATATGTTAGAGGTTGGTAATGGTCGTATGACATTAAATGAATATCGTACTCATATGAGTCTTTGGTCAATAGCTAAAGCACCATTACTTATTGGTTGTGATGTACGAAATATATCAAAAGAAAGTTTAGAAATTTTAACAAATTCCGAAGTTATTGCTGTTAATCAAGATTCACTTGGTATACAAGGAAAAAAAATACGTATTGATCTTTCTCATGAAACTGAAGTATGGGCTGGACCATTAGCTGATGGATCAAAAGCTGTTCTTGCATTTAATCGAGCCAATAATATAGCTCAAACAATTATAGTATTATTTACTGATTTAGGGTGGCAATTAACAAGTCGAGTTAAAGTACGAGATATTTGGTTACATAAAGATCTTGGAGAATTCCAAGGAAATTATACAGCGTATGATATTGAATCACATGGTGTTCAAATGCTTAAAATGGCTCTCATTACATTATAGAAAAATTTCGCTTCAAATTCTATTTTTTTTAACTTTGTGATCAGACAAAATGTTTTTTTTAATGTATTAATTAGACAAATATTCCATGAATTTTGACATTATGATTTTTTATATCAAAACAATGTGATATAAGTTCTGAACTTTAATAAAATCAAGAAATAATTTCAGTCGACAGTTTATTCAAAAAGAAAATTTAATGATCATATTTTCATACTTTTATTTCAGCAATGCAATTAGAAATATATTTGAAATATCAAACTGTTTACTTGAAGTTTTCTATAGTTGACAACTGCTTCAGTATCCTGCAACCCAAGCAGACACTCGGTTCGGTCTGAAGCAGGCATTCGGATTCAAACCTGTCGAGTCAGTTTTGAGTTTGGATATGATTTCATACCAGAATCCGATCCCGACAACTAATGAGACCTCGGCATTTCCAAATATTTTTACTTTTTCAAACTGCTATTTGATATAAAAGCATAGGAGTGAAAATATGAGCAATTCATTATATTTAAGAGCAAGTCATAGACGTGTAAAGTAATATTGTTTCAATAATAGAATTAGTTTTTAATGAAGATTCATCTACATATGATGAGGAAGTATATGACGGAGTAATACAATACATGAAGAGGGAAATCAAATATGAAAAAGGTTAACATGATTATCGTGATGAAAACTCATTTTTATGTTTATCCGTTATTATGATGTTTGCATCAACACTTCGTTCCATTTCAGCATTATCAGCGACACGCAAACATATAATTAATGAAATTAAGGGAGTTTTAGAAGCAGAAGGACATTAAGTAAATCCTGAGTCACTTCCTTTTTTTATGGACTTTGAAATGGTCTCTTTTTTGTTACTGTTTAAAAAAAACTAAATAGTATACTTTTTCATAGAAAATAAAAGCTTGAACACAGTATTGTGATTGCGAAAATAGTTGGCAGATGTCGATTAGCTTCGATCAGGTGCCGGAGTACAGTTACTTGAGTTCGGATATAAGAAGACCGAGTCCTGTTGAAAAAGTCGTACCGTTGCAGGACATTAATATTTCTTCTTTGTATAGAAATTAATTTTTGTGAATATTTTGACTTTCGAAAATATCATTAAACTTAACAAAGTGAGACGGTAGGTAGCATCAAAGTTCTGTGTTTTATCGAATGGATTTCACATGAAAATAATGCCAAAAATTATTCATACAAATTTCTTACGATTATTAATTAAAAACACATAGGTCGTTTGAGAAATGAAAATATCTTTAAGAGGCACTGTAATTTCTACTATCTATTTTACAAATATCAGATGATGTTACTCAAATGAACTGAAAATATTTATCAAGAATCGTGTTTTTTATTAGTTAAAATTATTGGTACGGTTAATAAAGTCTATATGTTTGTGATATATTTGGTTAACTTGATAATAATGTCATCAACAGAGGACAAAATGACTGTTATTTGTATGAAAGAAAGCTTGTTAGTGCAGTCGAGTTAGGGTTAAAATATGGAATGCGCATGTTTATTTTTTTCAGTGCATTACACTAATACAAAATAAGTCAAGTGAGAAATCTCCAAAAAAAGTTAATTCCTTTCTAAGAAAAATCGACCGTCAGTGCAACGATCTGTCTTATTTCTGTTTTTCAAACAGTCATATTTTTTTTCTTATAGTTTTTTACTTGTGGTCTATTTTTCTTATTGTTATAAGTTCGCTTTTTTTAAACAACTAACGGGTGTCCCAGAATAAATTATACCATTCGTATTTTGAGTATAACTCTTCTATTATCCATTAGATCGGGACATCTTTTTTATACTAAAAGATAGCGCTTGAAATTCTCTACAAAATTATATATGACTAGTCCCAAAAACTGTCTTAGATATATTTGAAAAAAGATGAAAAGTAACGCCATATAAAAAGCTGTAAAAAATAACGGGTTGGACATAATGAATGACCGCGCTTTGCATCTCATTTTTCTATCACTTACTTCGTCCTATTAGAAAAGCAAAATATACCAATAGATGCAGCGTNAACAAATAGTCATTACATTGAAATAATCTTAAAAAAGAAAACTTACATAATTTAAGCCCGGAGTTGTAAATGGTTGATTATCAGGCCAACAATCAGAAATAAATCTTTCACTAGCTTTTTGACGAGAATATGATTGACTACTGCATGGTACATAATTAACAAGTTCTTCATGTGGACGATCATCAATAACAATAAAAGCATAATGAATATCAATATGACGAGAGTCTATAAAAAGTGCTGAATTACGCATTTGAATAAGATCATTAACATCAATAACAAGAGAAAAATTCACTCGTCTTAAAACAGGCATTATATTGGAAGAAGTGAATAAATTGATAAATGTCCATTCTCCAATGGAATGCCAATTGAATGGTTTAACAAAACTAAGTGTATGTAAAGCCTTCATTTCAGGCAAAAGATGTATAGCATCCAGATTGTCTTGAAGACAAGACTCATCAACTAATTTAGTGTAATTGTTCTAATGTATGTGGTAATGGTTCAGTCGACATGATATTTAATAAAACATCTGCTGTATCTAATGTAATAGCCAAATAAAGTAAAGGTATTTGTATNTCGGATAATCTCTATTATCTACTACGTTCCTTTCACAAATAGGATCTTCAAATAAAATACGTGAACTTCATTTATATCGATGTAATAGACAAATAAAGTAAAGGTATTTGTATTGTTTTAAAAGGCCAATGATGTAAGAAAAAAGAAGATTCCATTCCTAAATCAAGTGAACGAAGAGCACACGGATGATTCAGAATTTTATTGATGAATTCACATAAATTCCATGATGGATAACACAATTTTTTACCTATACCACACTTAACGAAATCCAAAATAAATATTAATATAATATATATGTATATTATTAATCGAAAGTTGAAAATTTCTCTTTTCTTATCCAACCTTGCGCCTAAGAGAGTAATTCTTTAATCCAAAAAAAAGACATTTATATAGACGAAGATCTCTTACACAAAAACAAAAGTTTTTTAACAGATATTTTTCGTTTATTTAACATTAATCTTTCATAAAAAATAATATATATAAAAAAAAAAAGTATCTGATAATTATTTGGAATAGAAATCCAAAAATCGAATCTAACTGATCTATATTGTTTGAAAGGCAAGTCTGATGAATAAGTTCCGATTAAATATTTTTCGTAGATTTTTTTGCATAGAACACAATAATACGATCACGGAATATTTCAACCCATCGTTTTATACGTCAATAAATGCCTAACTACCAAGCAATAATAAGTATGAAAATTTTATACTTATCCTAGTCGAACTACTTTCTCGTGTGCATAAACTTCCTGAGCAAAACAGTCATGCGACATCAACCAATCTTTAGATCTGTACATTTCAAACACATAAAAAAAACCGTTCCACAAGAGTCTACTTATCTTTTCTATACGTTTTATTAGAATTACTGCTACAATAAGGTTATTTTCAACTATACTTACTGTTTCAAAATATCGACTTGATTCAACTGTCAAATAAATTAATGTAGTGGCATGTTGTCGTACGAAATTATAAACATCAACAAAGTCTCGTACACCCTTTACTTTTAATATTCTTAAATGTGGTAAATAAGGCCAAGATTTTAATTGAAGAGGTGATGAATAGCAATCAATGATAAGTGATTGAATTTCATTAAATCGAAGTAAAGATAAAAGTGTTTTGAATCGATGATATCGCGTTGATGATAAATTAACATGACAATAAAAACCTCTTTCAATTAATAACTTTGTCAGGCGAATATTGAAATTATTGAAACACCATAAAGCATCTTCACAAGATAAATAAGAAAATATTTCTATCAACGATAGATCAGGCAAATCATTGAAGACAGTAACCATATTGTTATTGTATTAATGAACACGAGAAATAAGGCCCCGAAACAGACTGAATTAATTCAAAGTGAATTAACTAATACAATTCGCGTTGCTATGCAAAAAAGGTCAATCGTGTTTCTTAATTCACTTTGAACTAGTCAGTCTGTTTGACCCCTAAGAGATTACTTTTTCTCTTTTATATAGCCATTCATAAATATATTACATTGGGCCAAAACAGACTAAACGAGTTCAAACAGAATTAACCACTAATTCATCTCAAATAGACGATTGAAATTTTAATATACCAATCGCGTTGTTTAGTTCAATTTTATTTTTGTTAATGTGTTTGAGGACATTATCGGTGTTCATTTTTTGTCATTCTCTTTATTATGTTGTATAGCCAATGGAAACAATTGTTCACTATACACTAGCACTCAACATTGACCATACACCTGACAAATGACCCTGTTTCTTTAATATTTGACGATGAGTTCAGGATATAGAATAGCGGCTAGACTTCTGCGTGACCACGATTTTTCAGTCACGTCAGGTCACGGTCACGAGCTGCCTGGTCACGGTCACGTTCATAGTCACGGAGTTTTTTTGAAACTAGTCACGATCACGGTCATAGTCACGGAAATTTTTCGAAACTAGTCACGGTCACGTCACGATTACGGAAATTTTGGATTACTAGCTGGATTTTTGTGCTACAAAATCAAGATTTATATTGATTTCACAGATTTTCTCTGTAAAAACGCAGAAAACACGTAAATCAATTAAAATCTTGATTTTTTTTCATAAAAATTAGATTTCTAATCTCAAAATTTTTCATCATTATGTCACGATCACGAGCTATTTGGTCACGGTCACGATCCCAGTCACGACAATTTTTCGAAAACTAGTCACGGTCACGAGAGGCCGTGGCCGTGACCGTGACCGTGACCATTTTGCAGAAGTCTATTCGTAACACATCTGTTATGATGTCTTCTAATATTTTTTTTTTCTCAGTAGACTTGTTTGAATGATGAGACATGTCAGCAAACATAGGAATTATCTATGATACATGTTTATTTGTTTTGTTTTCAATAGTCTTTAATGATCAATCATAGATAATAATACGTTCTGGTCAAAAAGTTGGCATGACGTCTAAGACGTCTGTATAGGAGGAGAGATACATGTAAACTGAGTTATTATAATGTGTATAAAAATGTCCATGATCGTTTGATTTTCATATAAAGAAAAATATCTCGAGTATTTTTTCTCTCTACGAAACAGTAAGTAAACGAAGAAAACTAAGGACTATGCTTAGTTAAATGCCCATTCAAAATATAACAACTAAAGATGCTTTAATACAAGAATACAATATTCTTTCGTATAGTCGTACTCGTTTTGATAAGACTAGATTGATCAGTGTTCTTTGTGGTCAAATATTAGCTGATACAAAATTTAGTCTTGAATCATGTAGATAATATCAAACTCATTTTATATTGCATGGTGAATATGAAGGCGTGAATGATACTATTCATCAAAAAGTAAGTCAATTAATTTATAATACAAATCCTCTTTGTGTGACTTTTTTTCTTTGTTTCGATCGACTCGAATGGATTATTCAAACATACTCATCGATTCAGATACTTGTTGCAAAATTATGTATATTCATTTGAATATAATGATATTGCACAATAAAGTGTGAATGAACTCATTGTAATGATTGTTGAGTCATTAGATGATGACAAATGTGTTGGGTGATTATAAAACGATTGTAAACAATGAATCTGCTTCGTTAAATAAAATATACAAATAAGTTTAAAGTATAATCAAACATGTGATTCCATTTAGAATATGATTTTACATATGAAAGATTGGATACATTGACAAAATCGACTATCTTGACAATGTTGATTGCATAACTGGCCCAAGGTAGCCAACATTAAGGGGAGGGGAGGGGAGTAGACTTTTTTTTCTCAGAGAACACAAGAAAAATTTCGGATCCGCTGTGAAGAAACAGTCATTTTTCATGCTCAGAGAGTATCCTACTCTCGGTCAGATTTGGTCAGATTGATTGGTTAATAGTAACCTAGCAGAGCTTGTTATACAGGTGTTAGTAGGTCTGATCAAAATCAACGACAAATTTCACATGAATATTAAGAAAAAAAATTCAAAGAAAGAGATAACATCGACATATAGTTTATCTTTCTTCTTAATTTTATTCAAACGACTAATTGCAGATCATTCCATTGAAAATTCGTTAGAAGTTTCTGATTCTAAACAAGCACACATTGTCAAAGAATAAGTCATATTCAACGATTCTATCTAGATCACACTCTTAAAAACAAACTTAGTGTTATCATATGTGGTTCATCTGGTACTAGAAAGAATATATTAATTACGAACATTTGTGTTCAACATCATACAGAACAAGTAAAAGTATTGATTACTGCGCTCAACAGATTCAATGCCATACAATTAATACTCATCATAAGCTATGAGATGATACACTCAAGAGTGATTATTCAATTGATTTTCGAAATATGCTTCGAATCGAATCATTCATTGAAGAAGATGTTAATTATTACATAAATTCAATTTGAAAAAAAGACTATCAATTTCATTTGTGAATCGATGTGTAAAAGAACATATTTTCTATACACCAGTTTGTGTGAATATGTGTTGAAATAAACAGTGAGATCAAGCTACATATAATTTCAAGATGATTCTTTAACTCTCCGGCGTGAACTAGAGATGTGCAGGACCAAGTTTATTTTTTGTGTCCCGGTCTCGAGCAAACTATTGAAAAATTTATTGGAATCATATCTAAAAAAGTTCTTCAGTATTTGTTTTTTGATTTATCTAGAAGATGGTTAGCACTTTTTTTTTAGATTATCGCTTCTGAATTATGTTCTGATTGATATGATTTATAAGATAATATGCTTAAAACTATAAAATATTTGACAATAATTCTTGATCCCGCACATCATTAATCTGGACAGATATGATAATCATAGTAAAATTATACATTTTGTTGGTGTTAGTTTATGTACAATAGTCAATAGCCAATGTAATTATGATAATGAATTTAATATACGTAGATAAAAAGAAATATGTCGAGTGGATAAGTTAAATTATGGTATATTAACTTTAATAAGTAATGAAATGGTGAGAGCATAGATTCATACTATTTTTTGAAAATTGTTTATTTAAGAGAAAAACAAGCAGTTCAACATATGCATAAATATTCTAATAAACAACGTCTAGTAAAACCATAAAAAGACTTTTTGACTATATCTGATAATATTGATGTTGCTTTTAAATGGTTCGAAGCAATTGTATCGAATATAAGATTGAATTTATTTCTTTCTTACATATCAAAATCTTTTATTATCTTGAACGCATAGAAACATATTCTAATTTGAAATTATTAATAATCAACTTCTATTTCGATAAGCTTACTTATTGTTATTATCAAATAAAATTGCTTTTTTATATTTCCTATATAAATTCCACTTGAATTGATGTCTACTCATCTGAAAATTAAATTTTCTTGATCACAAATCTATAATTATCATTTAAAAGTCTTATATTTGTCCTTGAAAAAAATATTCTTAATGTTTTCAAAATAATTTTTCTTTTCTTTTTGTACTTGACTTTCAAAAAAGCAAAAGAAAATCAAAATATAAATATTCAATTAATATCGAAGTATTATATTTCATTTTTGTCATAATTATACATTTCTAAATGTAGACATAAAATCGTGATAACAATAAAAAAAAACAAAATTGAAAATAAATGATAAATTTTTTTTTCTTTTGATTCTATTAGATCTTTCAATCTGAGCGTCGATTCCGATCTATCATTGCACATTAATTATCTATGCCGAATCGGATAATCAAGTTGATTTCGACAAAAATACGTCCAAATTTCATTTAGCCTTTCAATTATAACCTAACTCAATTATTAGATACATTAAAACTATTAGCAATAACAAAATGCTTCCCAAAACTATATGTTTAGGCCATTTCAAACTTTCTAGTTATGATAAGAATTTCCTATAATGTTGTTTGTTTTTTTTTCGATAGAATTTGTCTTTTTCCTTATGTGAAAATAAAACACAAAGAAGCCAAAAAAAAAAAGAATTTTAAGAATACAAAAAGGCACTAAAAATGACAATGACGACAATAATGACAAAGCAAAAAAAAAAAGAAAAGATTGAAGAGCAGTGTGAAGATGATGCACAAAAAGAGAAAGAGATAAAAGGAGTAATGTGAAGAAAATTGCGAGACAATTAAATCCGTCGATTGAAACTTAATGGATTCATGAAACGTTTAGTTGCTATGTTATTGTTTATTTTCACCACCGAACACGCTAATTGTTGGTATTCAGGATGTACTCGAAAATTTTTAGTGCTTAATAAAGGATTAACAAGCGGACGGCAAGATCAGCAGTATTTAGATTTGCTGAGAAAAGAAAGAGAAAAGAAAAAACGTCATTTTTCGTCACCAGTCAATGCTCGATTGGTGCGTGCAACAATAATATTAATTAAACGTTGAAAAGGTTTTTGGCGATTATCCGTCCATTTGTCGCGTAAACCAAATTCCATTGTATGATTCAGACCATCAACAATGGCCTATTAAAATTTAAAACAAAAAAAAAATAATAAATTAAAGTACATTTACTAAAAGCATACTTGAATATGTTCAGGTTTAACTTCATAATTTTTGTGTCGAATACCAATATCATGTAACATTTTAAATAGTTCTTCAGGTTTATCAACAACAATAATAAGATCATCTAACGAATTAAAAAATTTTGAACCATGATTTCTTAAATCTATTTTCCAGCGATTAGCTGTATTAGGAGCATCTGCATCGTCACCAGCTGCTGTTGTTGTTGCATTGGTATTATTTAAAACGCGGGGATTTTGCCAAAGTGATTTTATATCTGGACATTTTTGAAAGATCCTATTTGATCAAAGAAAATAAGCAAACATATAAACAAATTGATCTTCCTCTTTCTTCACTTGAGAC